CTGTGGAAGATTAACACTGGACTTCAATCAGTATGGATTCTGTGCATCTCCACTTTAATTTCAGACAGTAAGATCTTTACATTAATTTAACAGCCAATGACCAACCCCTTTCCTCCTCCACCCAGGCAAATAAGATGTTATATTCTATTTACAGTCTCTTAATACAAGGAAAGGCAAAGATCTAACCAATGCCCATCAAGTATGATAGTTCTTGAAGCTTTGACTTCAGCCACAAACTCTTTAATGTCCTTTAGTACACAACCTTTTTAGTGCCTTGTTTATCCCTGTAGTTTGTCAACTTTTTTTCTTCCACTTAGTTGTCCTTTATAACTTCAAATTTAGTTATAATGGAAAGTTAAATCTTTTTGGCATAATGTCTTTTTATACATAGCTATATATTGGGAATATTTTTAAGAGTGGGCTTTTTTGTCGTATTTGTTAGCTGTAAGCCAGTGTCATCAAAATTTAGAGAAATAACTGTTTGAAATATGTCATTGCTTTAAATGAATGAATGCATGTGTCACTTTTTAAATCTAATTGTTAAAAGAAATTTGCTCTCTGATAATTTTCTATTTTATTGAGAGACACCTTTAAACACAAGTGTTTTATCTTGCTACTTAGTAAAAAACAACACTGCACAGCTGTTTAAATTAAGGTTTTGTATAGTTTTGTTCAAATTTTGTTAAATCTAAAGTCAGTTTAAATCTTACTGCAAATTTGGTGAAACGATCAGAAAGACAACATCCAGAAAACATGAACATATAAAGTGTAAAATGAAAACTAACACAATAATCCATACCCTCACAGTGTATCTAAATACATGAATATAGAGGTTTAGGGAGCAACACAGTGATCCAGTTTTTTAAAAGAAAACGGTCTTAGTTCCAAACACATTTTATAATTTCAGTTCCATATTCCTTTGTTTTCCTTCCAGCATGTTGTTCAATCTGTGTAAAAACTACACAGAAAATCTGTCAACCCCAACAGAGCCTATTTAGTTGCTGAAGAACCATAATGGCTGATGCCTTGAAGGCAAACTAATTATCAGGTACTTAACAGTCCGAACCCTTTGATGCATGATCTGCGAATGAATTGGATGCACATAAACAATTCACCTACTTTTCTTTATTAAATTTGTTCATTATGTGTTTCTCTATTTCTTCATCCTCTTTCTTTATCTTTATGTGTTTCCTTTCATTTGTTTTCAACATGTCGCTGTTCTGTTTTTTTCTTGTTTCCCCCCCGTTCAGAGAACCAGCTGGGAAACTGGCCTTGGGACACAAGCTAGCAGCATGCAACCATATGTTAGATATTTTAAAGGAAGGTGTTTTTGTGTGTTTAAAAAAGAGACAAGGGGAGGAGGGAATACTTGCTGAAGTACACTACAGTGTAACAGTTAAGTAGGACATTTATCCGGCAGTGGTTTGTCTTCCCCTGTTGTGCTTGGATGTGAGCAACACTAAGAATTAGCGGTGCAAACACATGCACATTGACTGCAAAAAGCAGAGACAGACTGCTGAGAGCGACTTGTTAGAAACACTGACACAGTTGCTCATTAGACAGTTTCTTCTTGGATTGGGGCCAAATATCTGCAGGTCACAACTCATTGAAGTAACAGGCATTGTAAATCACTGATGTATTGAAGTGCTGAAAAGCAACACAGAACTGTTTCATCATTATTTACTCTACTTATGTCACATTTTGTGTATGACTGTAAATAAATATACAAAGCGTAAGCTGATATGCTAACAACTTTCATGAGAATCCAGTTGTACAGTAGTGCGATAATATGCTTTTAAATTGCAGCTAATTAGCCTTTCTTCAACTTTATTATAATTTCAAGTATGTGACTTCTTACAATGACATTTACTAAATACAATATATTTACTGTTTTCTTAAAGTGGACTGTAGGTTATCTCTACTAGAGTAAACTACCAGTTGATAGGACATAAAATGAGATCTTTACTTAAGCTTTGGTACACCTCTCATTTCTAAGCTCATATACTAAATTTAGTTAAATGAAAAGCAGTGATGGCTTCAAAAAAGTGTATCTTCACTTTGCCGCTTGAAGTAGTGCAGACAAATAAAACCAAGGGCGTAACCAAAGAAGAGGATTGCATTCTTAAACTACTCGTTGCTTTGGTCAAAGTACAAAAACTCAAAAGCATATTTTCATTTCAAACATTCATCTCTTATGATCTCTTTAAGGTTAGAGAGGCCTAGTCACATTGGATTAGTCTATTGACTGGTTAAAAAGGGCAACCGTAAAACAGGCTCTTGTAGATTTGGGACAAACTTGCTGTGAAGGTGTTTAAAAGTACAAAAGTAGCCATTCAAAATTTCTCCACTTTCCTTTATGGGCCCTTAGCTGGTCCTTGGCTGCTCCCCTACAATTACTTTATAAACATCAGTCTTTGTACTAAAATAATATTTCTGTCATTATTTGTGGACATTAAGATCTAACGAGAAGCGTCTGCTCCTGGTCAGACCCTGTAATTCAGTGAAAGGGTGGAGTCACATAAAAAAAAATACAGTGGAAGTTGGAGGGGATTTTGCTGCCATTCGACTGGCTTTTGACTGAGAAGGGCCATTTTGAATGGCTGCTACTGTATAGAGAATGATCTTTTATTTCCAGGTGGATCATCTAAATAAGTGGTCCTCCTAATTGTCAAGCATTCTGGTGATATATGTTTACATAAGGCCCGTCCCGTTAGCTATCTTTTTATGCTCATGTGCACTTTCAGGCATATATCTGTGGCAAGCTACGGTTTCAGACAGTCATTAAAGCTCACCTTTCTCACCACCGTTCTTTGAAAATGGTCAAGGGTCGTAAGAGAAAAAGTGTGTGAGTTTGTGAGATGAAAAGAAAGGACTCAGAAGATGCAGATATATCCCTAAATGCATTGCGCAGAAAGATCTCCTCGCAAAGCATTATGGGATTTGCAGACTCACCACTGTCGGGTAGCGTTTAATAACAAAGATGGCGCAGGCACTGCGCAGTCGAGGAGGAGTTGCGTGACCACCACAGCAAAAAGCGGTGATTATCTGTCTGAATGGTCAGTTAACTGAGTTTGCTATAAAGTACTCTAAAGTCCCCGCTCTATATAGTGATTGATGAATTTAAGGGTTAGGGCGGATGTTCGGGCACAGTAAGCTTGTATGAGCTATGAGAACAGTAACTTTTTAAACAGAGCATGCGCAAGGAGAAATGGGCTCATGAAGGCTCTTGCACAAGCATTTTTTTTTTAAGTGGAGAAGGCGGGACTTTTAAAAACTCCCCAAAATACTCCACAATACCTTTAAATTTGGAACACTTTTACTTCAAGTTTAAATGCACTAAAATCTGTAACAATTAATGAAGGAAAACACGCTACAATCTTTTTTTTCAGTCATATCTACCCATCTAAGTTGACAATGATGATCTAATGATGATCTGAATAGTATGATAGCCTGCTTACTAATTTAAGGATGCCTTCATAAGTGATAAATTGTCTGAAGTCAAATACGAGTTCTGTCAACATCAATGAACTTCAGGAAGATCAGGAAGGCAAATTCGCTCATTTGGTGCGAATATGCCTTTTTTTTTTTTTAGTGGTTATACAGAAAAATGTCAGGGGTTGACAGGGGTTAAGCTAGGCAATGAGGTTTAAAGATCACATAAATCCGTTACTAATTTAATATTTTACATTTCTTTGCAATCACACCCAAAGAGCAGTATTAGTTAGCTGTCCTCCATATATGGTCAAATTGAAGAAGCATTTTAGTTATTCATTTCAATGCCATTCACTAGACAATGGTACAATTTATTGTTGGATGTGTTTAATAGCCTTTAAATGTATTAGTTTTGTTCTTTTAGGTCATTGAACAAGTTGGGTTGGAGATCATGTTTTCTCACTAATTCTTGCAGAAAACCAGGAAACTGTAAAAGGTTCACACACTCACTCTACTTGTATTATCAACAAGCCATAACTGCTTGGGAAACTGGAATAATTCATGAATTTTAGGACATGCCATGCTGTCCTTTGTCCCTCTGTCCATACATTTATGTCCTCATGCTTTTTTCCCCTAAGGGTAAGAGTGAAGGTCCAGCCTCCATTTCTCATTAACCCACTGGCTGGATAAATCAAAGAGCAGGGCAGACAGGAGACCCTCAGCCTTGGCCATTCAGATAACAAGAACACCCTACACCATTCATAGCCTACAGCCCAGTGATATATGGATCTGCGGAGGCTAATAGCAAAGTATTGACAGGGAAATGGTGTGCTTATCCTGCTCCTGCATGCTGGGGAGAGGTCCCCAAAGCAGATGGGATACACATCAGGGAGAGGGAAAGGGGAGGAGGAGGGGTGAGTAGATGAGATAGAACTGTACTGGGAAAAATAGGTCCTTTATTGCTTTATTTCAGCTAATTTGTTCCTTAGTTTGAGTAGGGAAAACTACTTTACTCTTCTTTATGTGAATGTTTAAGGACTGGTTACTCCTAAAAATCTGTAAATTACATGTACTGACTTCCAGAGTACACCCAGAAGAATATAGTCTGAATGTCTGCAAGTACAGCAAAGTTAGGACTCTTTCATATTAAAATAGGCAGACTATCCTAATATTTAGAGGAAAGAATTCGCTAATTCAACAATTTATTAACTAGTCACAAATTTGCTAAACTCCAAAAGTGAGTTTGAATTTGATCAAGTTGTGTGTTGCTTGTAAGGCTCTACTTGAAGGACATGATTTAAAAGAACATTTGTGATTTGCGTATTGAGTCTAAAAATGTTTTTAGCCAAGAAGTGAAAAGTTCCTGAGGCAGCAGAGTTCTGAAACCTAAAGACAGGATGATTAACACAGAACCAGAAAGAAACATTGATCCACTAGTCAGTCATTTGCGATAAGTCTGTAAAGTAATTCTTTCTCTTTTTGAGGGGGATAGGTGTGTGTGTGTGGTTTTAGGAATTTCTGCGAAATTCTTTCTAATTTCCGTCTTGCTTTTCCCTTCGATCACTAACCTTCTCATCCAAGCTGATGGTTGCCTAGACATCCCCAAGCAGAGCACTAGGAGAAACCAGATCAGTTTGTGGTTTTTGGAGAGACATCTTGACAGACAGAAACGATGCTGGAGGCGAAGCTCACTGTCCGCCCAGGCAAGAAAGGAACTGAGGAAGCAGAACTGCAAGTTAGTCCATAGACAAGAAAAAGCTAGTCTGTACTACCAAAATAAGATGTATTATCTTCTTCTGTTCTATTCCTGATGTTCTGGAAGCTGATTAACCAAAAGCTGTTTTGTGAAGCTTTTAATTCCTCCTCTCAAACCATTGTCTCCTTAGTCTGACTTATGGTACTAGAACTTATAATTACACAACAAAAAAACTAATTTTTTAACTTAACCAACTGACCAACTAGTTAATCATTAAGAATAATAATGCAATTATTCTGATTCCTCTCGTGTGGTTCAAATAAGCTATGACTCTATCACAATAATTATTAGCTCTGGATGTTGTCCATTTATTAAATATAATATATTTGACAGTTGAATAAATGTTTTTATTCCAGGAAACATACAGAATATGACTGCTTCTTTAAATATGCAATAAAAATGGTTCACTGGGGACGAAATGATTCATCTTTTAGTTATTTTAAGTGATGATTATAATATTAATTCATTCCAATAAATTATGATATTAAATATTTAAATACATTAATTCACTAAAAGTTTATAAGTTAGATGATTCACTAAGGTATGTTTTTATAGACGTAGATCTCCTAATGAGATTCAAATCTACATGTTAAACAAAAAAAACTTTAAAAAAATGTAAGCTTAATAGGTTTCAAATTCATTTTAAAAGCATATTGTTAGATATTCTCTGAAGAGATGTTTGTACATTCTTAACAGAGGTATATTCTTCATGCCAGCACACAGAGCTACAGAAATAAAACACAAACAGGCTAGAGCAAATAATAAGTTTCTCTAATAGGAGCCAATAGATCACTATATATCCCTTCTCCCAGTGGTGGAGTCTTTAATGCTGGAGTCAGTAGGTTATCGCTGTGGGCGCTGCACCTCTTTCCCTTATGTGCCAGCTTTATCAAGTACAAGCAATTCTTCTTGTGATGTGGTGGTGGATGCAGGAGATGGGCCCTAATGACCACACTTCATCACCAACCTAAGAGAGGGTGCAGTGAGAAACTTGCAGCTTCTGATGTCAGATAAAGATGTGATCCATGTGTTGTTATTAGACTACTGGGCATAATTCTGGTCAGAGCCTGACTTGAACCACACCTGAAGAAGTTTAAGGTTATCATGTGATTGGAAAATGCCATAGAGCACAAAATGAACTATCATAAGGGGACAGACAGAATGTTCTCAACAATATAAGCAACTTGGATTACATTTCTGGCAGATGGCAGATAACTTATAGCCACCACTTACCCTGTGTACAATGTTGATCAGCAGGAAAAGAAAGAAAGAAAGAAAGAAAGAAAGAAAGCAAGCAAGCCAAAGAACCAACACAAAGTAAATATAACGAAACCGAAGGAAAAAAAATACATAACTGTGTTTTATAGATATTATTAATATTTTTACAAATGAAAAATCAAAAATAGTCTCCTTTTCATATTCCATCATCTGTACCTTGGTGGTCATAAAATACATACTTATCAACCAACTGTGTTTTGAAGTCAAAGAGCTATATTGGCAAAACAGGACAGAAAAAAGAAGTAACACAATTACTGAGTAGATTCAGCACTGTGTAGTTTAATCTCAATATAAACCCGGCAGCACTTTGAAGGCCTCAGGGGTTTGTTAGCAAACATTAGAGGACAAACAACAATATAAAGAACAAGGAACACTAAAGAGAGGGAAAATGCTGTAGATTGAACAACAGTAATGCAGAATGACACAAATGATTAACCTGCTAAGCGAGGGCTGTCGACCTGAACTGACAAGTCAGGGAAGGAATGCAGCTTACTAATCAAAAGGCAGCTAAGAGGCCCCTGGTAACCCTTGGGCAGCTGCAGAGATCCACAGCTCAGGTGGGAGAGTTTATTAACATATCAGTTCCTACATGCACTACAAAAAAGCAGACCTTTGTGGAATAGTAACTGGATGAGAGCCATTGTTAAAAAAACTGCCAGTTACCACATGTGATATCTGGAGATTCTGTTGCTCAGGTAAGATGGGGTAATGTGGACTACATGCAAAACGCTATGTTATGTAGAAACTTAACACTGTACTTCAGTCTGAACACGGGAAGCTGGTCATAGTTGAGTGGAAGAAACAATAGATGAAACTAAATACAGGCAAATCTATAGGAAGGAATCATGTTAAAGATGGCACCTGAACGTACTAACAATGTCACAATAAGACAAGTCAACAAAAAAGATAACACATACTTTAGAAATCCATGTGGTTTAGATCAAAGTATTATGTAGATGACGATTTTTGTTAAAGTTCAATTGAGAATCCATGGCCAGGTTAAAAAAATAAGTCAGTAGGTGTTCTAAATCTAAATTTCAATATGCTTTCAAAATGAATAAGCAAAGGAAAAAGATTTCTAGATGTGCTAACTTGGTAGAAAAACAGACCAGGGGTAATAATAATGGTAGTAAAAGACGTTACAACAGTACATAGCATTGCCTCAAGTGGCAATACTATTCATTTAAGCCAAACCACACTTTCTAGGTCTACTTTGCTCACGTGTTTAAAGCGATGTTTCACTTCTCCTCCAATTCATCATTATTGCGTCTTAAACTGCATGAAGTCCCAAGTAAAATACACAGAAATTAAAGGCTGCAAAGTGCCTAAATGTTCAATTTTTTTTTTGGCAAAAGAAGAGTTAAGTAAAGTAAATCTAAAGTAAATATTTCCAGCATGGGTTGATGGGAACCTCTGCAGTTGCAAGTTCTGTATCAGTGAGTAATAGAACTAAACAACAGACTGTCATACCATTCTGTTTGTTTCTTAATAGGGGGACACAAATAACCAAATATACATCTGGATGTCAAGTGCTTAACTAAGGCCTGTACATGCTCATGATTACCCACTTGACATCTTTATAGTTTCATGGCAGATATCCTCTCCAGTACATTTAGGCCCAGAAATAGCAAGCATGCCAAGGTGCCCCTGCAGAGCTGGTGTGGGACATCAGAGTTTTGTGTTGAAATAATTAGCCTGCTTAGCTACCATCTGGGCTGGAGCTGCTGCTGTGTGTCATGAGCCAGGTGCTTCATGGGTAATACTACAGAGAGACATGAAGCAGATGCTCATGTATGGATCTGCCCAGCCTGGCCTGGATTCAGCTAATCCCAGCTAAATTTTGAAGGAAAACCACAACAGGGAATAGAGAGGAGGCTGGTTCTGCGTATAGCACCATGGAGCATTCCTCTAAAGCCGCTTGAGCAATGACAATAAATTACAAACATAAAAAGTTAACTTTCTAAACCCCAAAACATTAAATGCTATGAGACTGCATTCTCACAAGGACTTAATCTGAGATCTATCCATTTCATCTGGCATAAAACCTGAGCTAAACGATCAGTACCCTTATCTATGAGACACAGGGACTGTTTAATTGCTGCCTGTTCTCCCCACAGCTTAAAATCTAAAGAGGTATAAACATTTTTGAGCAGTTCAGTAGGCCAGTAACTTGATAAGGCCCCTGGATTTACTCGATGATCTTAGAAAGTTCCTGAGCAAGCAGCAGGCATGTGGTTGTTGTTCCCAGAGGGCTGGGAAACCGTATCTGCCCTGAAGGAGCATCCTCTTTGGTAAGCACTTCTTATCCAGGCCATCACTGCAGGCTGATAGCAGGAGGGTAATATCCAGTAACTGCAGCTTTATGTGCGATCCAATACTCGGATCAATCTCTAGGACAAGGAGGATTGCCATTAACCCCTGAGAATTTTTTTAAACTTTATTGTTGCTCTTTTATTTTTTAGATACTAAAGAAGAATTTAGGAAAATATGGAAAAAAAATACTAGATTTTAAATTGCACATAAAAACATTATTTTAGTTAGAAATATCATGGCTGATCAGCAGGTTAAGGCAGCATATTGCAGGTTTGAGCAAATTTACTTTCTTTTAGCACCATAGGTGAAATGACACAGAGATTCATCTTTCTGTCTCTACTTCTCTTTGTTTGTATTCAGGGATGTGTTAGACAGTGTGTACGTGTAGAGAAAGCCAGAGAGTTCTCAGCAGAAACAGTGTGAACAGAAAAGAGATGGGACTTTGTTTCAAACTCTGGATACTTTTGGGAGTATTGTCCAACATACTCTTCCATGTGACTGAGAGAACAAGGAGCTAGACTCAACCCAAGACTCGTGCAGAATATAAATCCATGCCCCTAAAATCATTGAGCCATTTTCAGAATCATGACACTGATAAAAGGTCACTTTGCTTAAAATTCAAATGTAAACAACTGTTAATAGGAAAATATTTTTTCGGTTCATCAAATCTTTCAAAATTGATCCAAAATGTTTTTGCAATGAATTATTTTTTTCATAAAATTAATTACACAGCATCCAATATTCATTTTAAATTCATACAATCAAACTAGACAACCATAAGAAAAAAAAAAAATATTATATATATAGATAATTTTTTTCTAATGTGATATTTTACATTTGTAAAGAGATTAATAACTAAACACATATTGTCTCAGTGATAATACTCAGTGATAATAAATCATTTACCTAATAGTATGAATGGTGGTACAAACTGACAGAAGTATTTTTTATCAGTAATGTTGATTTTTTTTTTCTTGTGTAAGAAAAGCACAAGAAACTTACAGAAAAAAAACTATAAGAGAGAAAATATTTTTGATTGAATAAATACAACAGACAGAAGCTAAAAGAATTTTTTTTTTTTTAAATGTGTGTTTTGGTCTTTAAAAAAATGTGACAAGTCTCACTTACCTTGACTGTTTCCCTTAATTGGCAGGTCAAGACCCTGTAGTTTGATCACAGCTGCAGAACAAGATCCTCTCATCTCCACAGCAAATGTCAGAGGCCACTAGGCTGCTCCTTCCTGCATCATGGTCCACCAGCGTTGGTGCAGGACAGCCATCGGTCTGGCTGTCGGCATGTCAGCCCGAGAGGACCGGTCATCCGGCCACTGCAGAGACGAGGCGGACGGGCACACCAGGAGAGGAGCTGAGCCGGACTGGGCTCTGCTAGAAGGGTTTTTCGCCTCTCCTTCCCTGAATGAAAGCAATCCCTAAGAGTGAATGGGTAATGAGAGACTGGCTCCTGAGATTTTAGCTTTCTTAATCATGTTCATAATTAATTCAAGAACATTGATAATTTCATTACATTCTTTTTGTCTTATCAATAAATGATGTGCCTGCACTTTTGGTCTTGTGTATACGGGGAGAGAGGGAGGAAGAGAGGGAGTGAGGGACAAGAGAAGTAATACTGCACTAAAAGCACAGGAGATGGAAAATGGTACAAACAGGGATGTGGTAATTATAATCTTTGACCAAGCCACTGGAAGCACAATATGAAGTCAAGTGGGTACAAATAATTAATAAGGCCTCCCGGTGCGTGTGAGTGTGTATGCGTAAGCGTCTGTGGTACAGAAGCTGGGGGCGGGTGACTAAAGTCTTGGTCCAACAATATTTTACCGAACCTTGGAGTGTGTTTTTTTTTTTGTTTTTACAATAAAGAAACAAGCATATTTTACATTTCACACTCACAAACATTTCTAACAGACAACCAATTATGCACTAGCCTTTTATCCTCACCTTAAAACAGGGGTTGATGCTGCCTCATACTGCCCTTCAGATCCAATAAGATCTCAGATTTCAGAGGCAATAATGCACTGATGCAGTTTTCAGAAAGACCCCTCTCCTCCTGCCCTCCTTTCCTCTTCACATGCCCTGTTAGGTCATGCAAAGAGAAAGAAAAGGAAGGGGAAAAAAAGAATAAATCAATTTTCTTTGCAGCACATATACTTTCCATTAATCAGCAGCAGGAATAATGAGATAATATGCATTTTTAATAGTTCGCCCTCAGAATATTTAACAACCCTTCACCTCAGTACATGCTATGTGACAGTGCTTTATCAGTTGATCTTCCTGTTTAAAGATGATCTGAAAATAGAACTGGGGGGGTGATAGATATCGCTTTTTGCTAAAAATGATTGTGACGATGATTGAGGGTGAGAAAGATTCTGACTCACAGTCCTTTCATTTGCTCTGAAACATGACAAGTAAAGGGATGACTACGAGCTCCTTAATCTGACAGTGAGAGATTGACAATGGTGCTGAAGGTCTAATCCTACATCTGAAAACGGTAGTGGAATTTGGTGATGTGTTGTATTGAATCTGAGGCCATATATGATGTTAAAACAAAACTGTGCTATTCCTTTGAGCTCTGAGAGGTTTTCGTTCACAATGCAGCTTTCATCTACAGCCAAAAACTCTTTCTACCGATTTTATTTGCACTTATCTGTGATAAAAAAATACCAAAATGAATAGTATTTTAATAAATTTGGGAGGATTTGAAAAAAAGTAGTGCTGCAGCACAACTGTAACACTATGTAATTTGTCTTTTTCTAATGGATTTCTAGCTTGTGAGACTATAGCACAGATTGGTAAAGCTATATGAGGCATTAGAGATTCAAGTACTTTATGTCCTATTTATTCCTTATGTGCCACAGGCCCCCCAGTCTTGAGATATGACCAGCTCAGCGCAAGAAACCTTTAATAAAATAAAAAAAGTAAAAAAGGGGAAAATAGTGATTTACAACAGGCCATTTTGACAGTGGATTTGATATAAGGTGTTCATAGCAAGTTTTGCATTTTGTTCCAGGTCCCCTTACACACATTTTAATCATTTTTATGTGATCTATGTATGCAGCACTCATCCTCTCTCTGTCACCCAAACCTTCCAATGTGTCTCTTTTAAACAGATTGCTACAATACTTGTAATGATGGTCCTTCCCAGCTGCACTGCAAGAGAGGGGAAGGGAGCAGCAGGCTCTAGTATTACCATAATACTCACTCCCCCCCCCCGTCCCAAGGGTCCATGTGTGGCAGCACTGGGATGTGGGGTAACTCTGCTAACTGCTGTGGAGGGGACTCAACTAGCTGCTGGTCCTTCGGGCTTTGTGAATTCGTGTGAGCGTGCCCCGGCCATGTGTGTGCGAATTTGTGTTTGAATGTGACAGGGCTGAACCTGCCTGTGGGCAATGTAATAAAAGCGCCACGCTCTGCTGCTGGTGATGGTGGCATTGCTGCTGTAGCTGCAGAGAAGGGGATAAATATAAAGCAAGGCCTGCATCGAGGAGGAGTCAGCCCCTCAAGTCACAGCTTGACTTACATCCTAATAATTAGGCTCCTTTCCAATAAAACAGGGATTTGTAGCCATGCATCTCTTTTACTTCTGTTTGCAATTCTGCAGTGAGGAAAAAAATGCAAGATCTGCTGCTGGATCCGAGTAAAGCAGCAGCCTTTGGGAGATTTGAATTTTAGCAACACTGTTGCCGAAGTTCAGGAACTTGTATCTGGTAGAATTTGTGATTATGGGTTATTTTTATTAGCTGTTAAATTAGACTTAATTATTATTATTTTTTACTTTGACAAAGTTACAGGTATTTTGCACAAAAACTTATTCACACCCCCTGTCTGAATTACAGCCAATCAATAGAGAGCTTCCTTTTACATGGCATCCTAAACCATGCAATGTATCATATTTACATGCAGCTCTTGAGATCCTGTTTCTCAGATCTTGTCACTGGAATACAGCGTTAATTTAATCTGACTTTATTTTTGGTTGTTTTAAACAATCTACGGTTGCTGGTTTAAATGTGAACACCCCTGCTGAAACCTGACATTTCTGTGAGTTTAAATAATGAGATTTATTTATGCCTCATTGGCATAAACATTTTATTTCTTAAGCCAAAAAAACACACATATGCCAAAAAAACACACATATGCCATATATATATATATATATATATATATATATATATATATATATATATATATATATATATATATATATATTGATATATATATATATATTGATATATATATATATATATATATATGCTTCTTCAATTATTATTATCGTCTTCTTTTCCCTGAAGCCATAGCTTAAAGAGAGATCAAAGATAAGAGCTGTGACATTGTTAAAGCCAGAACAGTCTTACAAATTGTTGCAAATGGATACAAGGAACTGGTCAATTAGGCTGACAGGTGCCCTTTAGTAACAGTGAAAGGCTTTCTGGTTAGCACTGGTTCCCACCGAGTGTGCGTCTACTATTGGACTAAAGTGGGACAGAATCAGACCAACCAAACAATCATCAACAATTATTTCTGGACGAAATCAAGACTGTGACGGACTGACTAGAATTAGCCTAAAAACCAATGTCAATATAATGTCTGGTGTTTGTGTTCCCCTGGATTGTTAAGAAGTCTGTGGTAAACTGTATAAGGATAGAGGCTCTGCCCTATTAAGGAAACATCCGGCCTTGATTGAAATTCCATAAAGCGGTGTGGAATAATGTATCATCATTAAAAAACTCTCAAACTTTGACCAAAATTCAAAAATCACAATGAGCGTCGCAAAAATGAATGTTATCATTACTCCCAATAAAATATGCTGGTGGCGGCGTCATGCTGTGGGCTTAGTTTTCTTCAGATAGAACTAGATGGTTAGTAAAAGAAGATTCTGAACAATTTATAAGGCCAGTCTATTTCACTCTTAGTCTTAGAGACTTAGTCTTAGACAACATTTATTTTAATTTTGCATACATAAAGTGTATGCAAAATGAAACTTTTCTATTCAGCATTATTTCTCATTTTCTCTTTGACAGATTTAAATTGTATAGGATATATCAAACATTAAAGAAGAAAAATGTTTGTCATTCATTTTTGAAATATGAAATTTTAACAGGTGTGTTTGAGAGCCGCGGTCGTATCTCTTGTTTTAAATCTGACCTCCTTAGATTTCAGGCAATGATGATGTCTGGCCATTTGAAAAATCCTCTAAAGTCAAACTGAGCTGGAGATTCAGGGCAGTGAACACACTGAGGCAGGTGGGGTTATGTGTGTGGGAGAGGGAAGGGCTTCGCAGGATGGTGGTCCAGGCAGGGGGTATCAGGCTAATTAAAGCAAGCATTTGTCAGAGATTAAGCTTTAAACAGAAAAGGTCATCTGAGCACAAGAGCGCACTGTTTCGCTGCTGTGCTCTAAGGGCAGTCTAAACCTTTCCAAGCTAAATGGTAAAGATGCTATTTAAAGGGGGAGGGGGACGAGATCCTGATCAGCGACAAGACTGACACTCAGGTCATTGGTTCTTTACTGTCCATTACACATGCTGGTCAAATCTGGCAATCGGTGTCATTTAGGGATGAAAAATAAGCACCAGGACAAGATCAATAGATGCAGCCATCTGTACCAGCTGTGATTAATTGACTGTCTCCAATTAATGACTGGCCTGTTGCAAAGCAATGCAACCTCAGCAGAACAATGGTTATTTCTTTTATTTGAGCCTGAATTTGTTTATTTTTGCCTACAGATTGTCAGAATTAATTCATTAACCTGTTCAGGCAGGATCTGTTGGTTGAGTGTGGAAAACTGGAAGCTCTACTTATGGCATCTCATATTTTAGGTGCTCTTTGTAGTCATTTGCTCACAAGAAATAAAGGTGTGCTTGCAAAAATTCACATAGTTTATTTTAGTCCACAAGACATACGTTCTAAAAATATTTGAAAACCTTTCTTTCATTATGTTTCAAAAGTCTGTATATATTAATACATATTCTTGGTCTACAGAAATCCTAAGCAGTAACACAGAATAATGCCACTTAAATTGAAGTAACATTTCATTACTCTCTGTAATTTATCTAACCAAAACTTATTCATCATATACATTTACTCTGAGCAGAATAACATCAAACCACTGGGGATATGAGGAATGAGTAGGAACAAGTGGTGGCTTGTGATCCATTTAATAAACCACTGAAAACAGTCCAACAAGTACTGGTGATGCTTTTAATCTAGAATCAGTGTACAAAGTTATTTTGCAGTCAGTCGATTGTAATCATATTAGATCCTGAGAAGATGTCCTAGTCTTAGATACGACAAAGCACAGGACATGTAACCTCAGGCATGAGTAATGACCCTTAAAGGGTTATGCTGTGATACAGATGTAATTTAAAATATTTTGATGGAATGTATGCTAATCTAAGCCACTCTGAATAGATATTTATAAATTCAATCATTTTCATCCGAGGCTATGACTTGAAATGAAGGTAAAATATGACCTTTTTTATATGGCGGGACTTAAATGGATATTGGGATGTTAAATTGTTTTGCAAAGCACAACAAAAAAAAGTTTAATTACAAATTGAAACAATTTTTCCTTTGTTGTCTTATGAGATCGGTTAAAGGGAGTATATATATAATAAAGAGAAACTGCATATATTAGTATTTTCTTAACATTAGAATCTTCGATATATCTGGTTTTCAGCGAGCCTGTGAGATGCAAATTACTGCCTAATATTAGCAGGTCTCTGTGACATATATTTATGGCAAGTTCATGAGTTTTATGAAATTCAATAAACCAACTTTTTCACAAGCAGAGGAGTTTCTACTATGCGCGTACACAGTCCTATTTATACTCATGGTAAGTGCATCACAGCTTTAAGCACAAACTTTTTCCCCTTCATAGTTCAACACATTTAAAATGTTCCCAATTCATGTGCAGGAATCACAATCGCATTAATAACCAAGTGAGATCTTAAGTTATAGCTAACAGAACAGATGACCAACGCACACAGAATGATCACTTTCAAGCTCTAACCTTATTTATAGCTGAGAACGTTATTACACATCAGTGAATGCATAATAAATAGAAGCTCTTTGGTATTTTGGGCTTCAGCAGTCAATATCCTTCTGTTTATTGTTCCAGGTCTATTGATTGTGCTTTTTTTCACATTGATATTTACACAAATGTTTTAAATTATAATGTTGCTCGCTTATTATAGCTTGTTAGCCCATTGGGTTGGTGAGGCAGACTTTTGATTTATCTCTACTGCTAATTTAGTCTCCTGACTCGCATCAACTATGTGTCAAACAGGAGATTAAATAAACTTATTTTATCACTTTGTGCCAAGTGGTATGGTAATACTATAAATTACAAGCTAGATGGCAAAGGGAATATGTCTGCTGAATAAAAGAAGAAAAAAAGCAGTTTGAAAAAAAAATACTAATACCACCAATATAACTGTAAAATAAAAGAGGATGATTTTAATATTTGGATTTCTCACTATTGATATAAAAAGTATGACACATGAATTAAAGTAAATAAGAAAATTAAATCAAGATTAGGATTTTACTAATTAGAAAAAGAGTAAATTCTCATTAAAATGAACACTATAGTGTAAAGCTATAACATTGATTCCAACATTAATGTTATTTTAGGAATCAAGCCTAGCCATGAAGATCTAACCAGTTGAGTGGGGATGCATTAACCTTTGATAGCCTTGTGCACTCCTCTGCATGGTTGGTTTCATTGTATCCTCCTCTTGAACCCCTCCCATAGATTACTGTTGGTAGTTTGGCCAGTTAAGGTTGCTGGCCATGAAACACCAGGATACCATGATTACCAAAGCAGGTATTGGTAATTTCGGCTGGTGATGGTAAGTTCTGCTGAAATATTAAATCCACATCTCTGTAAATCTTTTTACCACAGAGACTTTCAAGGCTCTAACACAGAGGGATTACCTGCTGGGTAATCTGCACCCAACCTGATTTAAAACATTTATAAATTACCACATGTTGTCTGATGACAGTATATAAACGTCACTTGCGCCGCTTCTCCTGTTGCCCTGAAATCCCACATCCTCCATCACCTCTCCTCCCGGCTGCGCCCCAGACCGTCTGGACAAATCAAAGCCTACAGCCTCCGCTGTTCCTCCTGTATCACTGCACTCCGACTTATCCTCGGAGTTCGAGGAGAGCAATTAGACAAACCGGATCTTCTCGCCGTTCTTTTTCCTGTTTGGTGTGATTGCAATAGCGGATCTTGACCTGGCCAGACTGGAGCGGAGCCGGAACATTTAGGGTATGTTTTGCTCAACCTACTGCTGTGAAGTAGGATTCTCTACCATGAACAGAATCAAAAATAAATATGGATCCAACCTCACAAATGAGCACCTTGATATGTGCTTGAGAATGGCTTTGTCTCCATTCAAACCCAGGTTTAAAGCCTTAAACCCGGCCTAAAGCCCACTGTTCTTATTAAGACATAAAAAGAAAGACGAATAACAAATCGTCAGTTCAGGTGTTTTATAAAATATGTGAATCAAGAAATTGTCCATAAACCAAACTGAAAGATTGTTTTTCTCTACTTCAAAAAAACTTTAGATTTTAAAATGGAAAAATTTAATATACTTTTTTATATTCTTTTATTTAAAAATGGAAGGTATAACATGAATGCATAAACACGTCATTTCATTTCAGTGTTAAATTCTGTTTAAAGTAACAGATCATTAAAAATGTCTCTGGACCTTTACTGGTTGATGATGTTCTTTATTCGGACCGTGCTGATTTTTAATTGGTTACCCCTGCTATAACATGTCCTTGATGGTGGCTGAACCAATAAAAGCAGAACCACTAAACAACTTAAGCCGGAAGCAACCATGCTTTCAGTAAAACATTTTTTTTTTAAAGTAAAAAGTTGAGAGAAAGTCAGTTTTCCTCTGATTTAAGCCTGTTAAGTGATTTCCATGACTGGGATGACTGAGAATTTGTTCAGGAATAGAAGCAGAACCATCAGCAGACAACATGGTGCCCCAAAATATCAGTTACATGAGAAAGTCCACACTGAACCTAAAACAAGATAAATCTGGGCCTGTTCTCTTGATAAAGGCTCTGGGAGCTTTATTTACAAATTAAATACAACAATTACATTATCTTATAATGAAGACTAGAAAGACTTTCTAACGCTGTGAGATGCTCCCACTCGTGTCAATTGATATGCCTGCATACAGCACCTAGAACAGCAACCTTCCTACCATTTGTGGATTGCCCAGTTTATGAGGGAAAAAAATCAGTTTAAAGTCAGCTTTATTAAAACAGACTTTTAAAAATAGCTTTATCTAATTATGATTTTTTTTTAGGGGGGATTTATTAATGCTTATAAATAATTCAAAGGAATTGTAATAAATGCTTACTATCGAAGAGGATTAGAACCACTGAAAAAATTAAAAAAGGTAACTGATTTCTAAATTTTATAGTATAATATGAGGAATTTTACTTTTTCCTCTCTTAGAACCCCAAACACAACACAAATCTTAAAATATGTTTTTCTTGTTTGTTTTTTTTTTTTTGTGGTTGAAGACCTTTAACTCGTCGCGATATCTTTGTTTTTTCTAATGGGATTCCGTGTACATAGCTCTCTTTTAAACACATTTCTAAAGGAAATAAACAGACGAAGAAACCTCTTTGGCCCTTAACGCTTCCCGTAGTTAGAGAGATCCGGCGGGCGGGGCAGCGCGCTTCCTGATTTGAAACACCGCGGTACTTCATAGGAAGCCTCTTCCTTTCTCTGCTGTTTGTTTTCTTCAAATATGTCTCTCAACTATCAGGGATCGACGCTCTCTCTCACGCTGCCAATTTCGTGTCAGATATGTCTCGGAAAGGTAACAGCATCACGTTTTATAACCAAACTCATCCTCTCTTTGTTATCAATACATTTACACGCGAAAAAGCGCGTCACAGAAGTTCAGCTCTGCGATGGCGTTATTATCTATGTGGAAATGTGTTTATTATGACATTGGCTAAGTCTTACCTATAAATAACCAAGTCAGGTTTGCTCCTGCAGGTCAGGCAGCCCGTCATCTGTGCCAACCACCACGTGTTCTGTTCGTCCTGCATGAAGATGTGGTTGAAGAAAGCCAGCCAGTGTCCCACCTGCAGGGAGCCAATCACAGCCGAGAACCCCTGCAGGGAGATCATCGGTGCGTGGCTCCATCCCACAGTAAAACTAAGCAAAACGTGTTTACTAAGTGCATATTTCAATATAATCAGTTCATTAGCAGCAGTGAGATATTTAAAGTTAAACCAATTAAATCATTCAGCTTTATATACATTTCACACTTTTAATAGAAAAGAATAGAAAATCCCTTTATTGTCCCACAGAGGGAAAATTCTGGTGTTTACAGAAGCAAAAAGATTATAGAAAAAATGGTCCCCAAAATTTTGACCTTAGAAAAATGTACAAGAATGGCATAACAGTGAAGAGTTTAATAAATAATAAAAATAAAATACTCTACTGACTTTATTGCCAAAGTTGATATTTATTTTTCCTACCAAGTTCCAAATTATTAGAACAAATGTTTACGGCTCTGTTCTGACTTTAATGGGATGTCCCTAAATCACACAGTAGCTGCCTGTTTTGTTAGAGAGTGGTGTTTACTGTTTATCATTTATTGTTACGTATGTCACTCTGTTTTAGATTTTGAGATTAGTTCATGTTTTAGCCACCACAGCTGTGCTTCTTTTAAAAGGCTGGCAAAAAAATGTTAAATTCAATTCAATCTCAAAGTAGAATTTGTTTAATGATGCTTGCCAAGATTATTAACAGAACTTAGTTATACATGAAATTACCACCATTTTAATGCATATTAACTTTATTTGGAGTAAAAAAAAAAAAAACTTTTTTTCTTCTTAATTTGCTATGTCATTTTGATGATACAAATCAAATGAAACCTAGTTCTGTGATGAAAGAGTATACAAAAGACTTTATTATTAAAAAATTAAGTCAGCATTATTAAGCCATAAATTAGTTGTTATGTTTCTGATTGGTGCTCTTCCTGGTTTATGTAAAAAAACAGAAGTAAATAAACTAACATGTCCAGTTTAGGGTGAACTTAATTCAGTAAAAGGCTTAAGGGGTGAATGGAAGCTTTTGAGTTAACACCACATTAAAACTAAAGTTACTTGGTCATTGGAAAGGACTTTCCTCTAGGCCAGGGGTCTGCAACCTGCGGCTCCAGAGCCAAATATGGCTCTTTGGAGGCTCTCCAGCGGCTCTTAATAGTAGCTAAAATGCATATAAAGAGCTAAATAATTTACTATAATATATACCGGTATCAATAGCTTTAGCGTTTTTTATAAGATGGAAAAGAATGAGATAAAAAGAACCAGAAATATGTTTTAAGAGACATTTTTCTATGAATTAGCTCGAAAATTATATGTTTTAACATTAAAAATACACGAATTGTTGATTGTTTGAGATGGCAACAACTAATTTCCTATACAAGAAAAAAAAAAAAGGTTTTCTAGAAAAAGTCATGGTATATTTTGCGGCTCTAAACAACTTTTACTTGGTCGGACTCTGGGCAAAACGGCTCTTTGGATATGAAAGGTTGCAGACCCCTGCTCTAGGCCAATGCTGAAAAACACCTTTCAGAGTTGTATTTGTCAAACAGAGGTGTAAGGTTACACATTCTGGTAGAAATTATTTGCTGAAAAGGCAGAAAATGTGACATTTTGTTTGTACCCTTTTATATCCCAGCTCATCTTTTATTTCTCTCTGTTTTCTCCAACAGGAGGGACAAACGAGGGTGATTACAGTGAAAGCCCTTCTATGAGGAAATGTCTGAGGAAAACCAGAGGAGAACTACTTCTTCGAGAGTATGAGGTTGTCAAATATGGATTAATTTTAGGTCTATCTTGTTATCGATGCAGATGGAAAAAATTTCGCCATTTGGCCATATAGATTCCTTTATTTGCCTTTGTTTTAACATACAGTGGTGACCGGAGGTACAATAGCCCAAATTTAAGCTGCTCTACTTAAACAATTTTACTCTGTAAATTGTAATTCTCAAACATACTTAAGAATAAGAATAATAAATGGTTTGTTTAAAAGGCTGCTCAAACTGGCTACAAATGAATTAAATGTTTAAACATGTTTAAAATTAAATAATCAGGTAGACAAACATAATCAATCAACCAAAATGTATTTATATAGCAGGTATCCAAAGTGCTTAAAAAAATTAGTAGAATCACAAATACAGTGGAAAGAGTGAACATAGAAAACGTTTAAAAGTTTACAAAGAAAAGTATGAAATTGTCACACCACTGCTACGTGTTAAAAGCCAGCCTGAACAGATGTCTTGTGTTTGGACCTAAAAACAGCGATATCTGTAACAGTGTGAATATCCGGGGGTAACTTGTCCCAGAGTCTTGGGTCAGAAACTGTAAAGGCCTGATCACCCCGCTGAAGACAGCAATGACCGGATGAGCTCCTGCAAAGTTCAAATTTTGGAGAAATTCTATGGAGTGAGACCATTTAAAGCTTTAAAAACACAATCAAATCTTAAAATATATTCTAAAACTATAAGATTATGTGGGATAGTGGATTTTTAAAGACTTGAATAATGAAAAGGTTCAAAAAAATCCCATGATCACACAATTTATTACCGTATTTTCACGACTATAAGGCGCACTTAAACGTCTTTTTTTTCCCTCAAAATGTGCGGTGCGCCCTATGGTGCGGTGCGCCTTATGTGTGTTGTAACTGCGACTTTTGAGACCACCTCATTGAGGAGATGATGAAAGAGTGGCTGAATGTAAGGAGGCCAGGTGTTTTTTTCCACCCCTCACCATCGCTGTTAATATGTAACTCCATGCGTGCCCATCTCACAGCTGATGTGAAAAACAAATTAACGCTGCTCGACATCGGTGTGAACCGGACCCAGCAGGTGCAGCAGAAGCAGCGAGTTTACATGCAAAGTCAATGGTTGACGCGCATATAGGTGCAGCAAAAGGTCCCGCAGCGCGTTTTGGTGCAGCACGTCGGGAGCGTTTAAGCATCTGAAGCACCGCCAACGCGCTGCTGCTGCTCAGAAGGAAAAATTGAAGTTTTGCTGCTGGACGCGCCGCATCAACCAATCAGAGAAGCTGATCTGGGAGCTGCCAGCGAGACAGACAGCGCTCTGATGACATGATATTAACGCAAATGGAAAAGGCTGGATGGATACGTGGCTGAGGCAGGTGTATGTGAGAAGACTAGGTGTTTTTTTCCACGCATCACCATCGCTGCGTGCCCATCTCACAGCCGATGTGAAAAAAAGATGAATCAAATGAACGCTGTGCTCGCCGTTATCCCGGGAGGTCTGACAAAGGAGCTTCAACCGCTTGACATCGGTGTGAAGCAGCCGTTCGAAGTAAGGCTGCGAGCGGCGTGGGAGCGATGGATGACCGACGGAGACCACAGTTTCAGGATAAGTGGAAGGCAGCGCCGGGCAGATTACGCCACAGTTTGCGGATGGATTGTAGATGCTTGGACTAACGTGTCTGCTGGCTCTATTGTTCAAGCTTTCGCAAAAGCAGGCATTATTTCTGAGGAGCTGCGCTGCACGGAAAGTGACTCTGACAGCGCAGAAGGGGAAACTGGCATGTCTGATTTAGGGCAGCTGTTTTATTCAGAAACAGAGGAGGATGACTTTGATGGGTTTGATTAATACTTTGTAATAAATACATGAATAAAGCACAATCATACTCAGTTTTGCTCCCGCTCTATTTTTCTCCCTGAAAACTTAATTCAACAGCATCCCCGGCGCGTCTCCTCCTCTTCATCGCGGCTGCTGGCAGGTGTTTTTTCATCTAAATAATCTAAATCTTGCAGCTATTTGCTGTGATCAGTGGGAATAAAGTAGTTTTAATATGTTTTTAAGTGAGAAAGTCCACCTGAAAACTTAATAATTGCAGTCAGTTCATCCAGATTATCTATTTCTGTCAGAGGCGCTCAGACCCCCACATACCAGCGGTGCGCTGACAGCAGAAATCTCTTCATCAGCAGCCTCTAGGCTGGGCAGCCTGGGGTTCACCGCGGCTGCTGGCAGGTGTTTTTCATCTAAATAATTTTAGCTGCAGGCACCAGGATACCGGCAATAAAAGCGAACATATTCCGTCGGCAGGTTTCAGGATTTTAAGTTAATTTAGGAGTGATCACAGCGCTGTGTCATCTGCGATGTCTCTGTCTCACGGCCAGCTGCCAGGTTTGATTAATACTTTTTAATAAATACATGAATAAAGCACAGTCATACTCAGTTTTGCCCCCGCTGTATTTTTAAATACGCAGTAGAGGTATTTAAAGGTAGTAGAGGACTTGTACCTGTATATAAAAAACGCGCCCTATAGTCCGGTGCGCCTTATGTGTGTGTTAAATACAGAAATGGGACACATAACTGAGACTGCGCCTTTTAGTCCGGTGCGCCTTATGGTCGTGAAAATACGGTACATTTATTAAATGACCTAAATAGTTGGATTTAAAAAAAAAAATATTTGTTTTCATATAATAATTAATTTTATAATTAAGGAGGAAAAAGATCTTTGAATTGATAAGGTGGTTTATTTTGTTGATCTATGAACTGCTTTGTTTAATCAGTGTAAAGTGATTCTGATGGACCTGGCATAAACTTTAGCTTCCATTCAGACTTTTCCTGCTATTTGATTACAGGGGATTCTGAAGAAGCATAAAAGTGTTTTTGACAGCATGGCACGTTGAAGATGGCTTCTAACGGTTTGATGAATTATGTGCAAACTGTTATTCCTAAAACTTGGCATCTATCCAAAACTGATATAACGAACAAAAGCTGACTGCAAGACTAGTTGGATTGTAAAACCTAATCATTTTCTCAAAGAATTATTTTGCAAATTGATTAATCTATCGATTACAACCATAACTAATCGGACAGTAAAAGGTTCCTTAAAGAAGACTTTTTACAAAATGAAACCAGGAGTTCTGGATAGAGCATATTGACAGACGAAAAAGTTTAGTTTTTTTATCTTAAATGCAAAATTTGTATATATTGTATTTGGAATTTTGATATAATTGCTGCTCTACGTGGGTTGCTGTGTCAGCTAAAGGCATGTTTTATGGTTTCTATACTCTATTTAACGATTTCATCGATTCCTAAATTAGTTGACAATTAATCATGATTAATCAAATTAATTGTTTCAGCCCTAGTCCTATATGCTTTGATGGTGGCAGGATGAGCCGCTGGAGTTATATCTCATCAGACGAAGCTTGGGCGTTAGTCGGTTTGAGTAGAAATGTTTAGTATTTCCAGATGCAAATCACATTTACCCAAAATATTGTTGAATAAATGAGGAGGAATTTAATTTAAGCTTTACGGTGAGAAGCAATTATTTAAACAAAAACAAAAAAATACTTAACCCGGTTCCAAAAAAGTAAAAAAAAATAATCCACTGGACTTGGTTTCCAAGTTTGAAGATGTTTCTTTTTCCATGCAGGAAGCTTTTTAAATTCAAAATGTCAGAATTGGCGTTAAGATCGCAGCTTTGTGTAGTAGCCCAAATACATGTAATGGCTTAGAGAACATGCAAATTGAACCAAAAGAATGAGTCTGCCCCTTATGAATGGGGAGTCGTTAGGGTTCTTTGTTAGCCTGTAATTCTCGATACTGGGCTATACCTCACCCGATGGAAAATAATACTTTGCAATGATTTAGTCATTCAAAATCTGATTGGTCACCTTTGGCTGACAGGAGCAGTCCTCTTTATCTGATAGATGTTGACAACTGCTAGAATGTAGAAGCAGTTAAGTTTGCCACTCTGACACATTGCTACTGAGGAAAACTGAAGCTTGGAATTGAATCAAAAGCTGCTCCCTCAAAGGATTAGTGAAAGGAATCTGGTTATTCTATCTTTTTCTACTTTTTCCCCACATATTTGAGATTTTTGTTAAGTTGACTCTATGGAATATGCCATAATAGATTTGTACATGTTTTATTTCCACTGAATGAAGTAACATAATACACTTTAAAGACTGTAGTAATCTTTGATATGGTTGTTGTACATATAGTTTATTGATCAATCAGATATACAATTTCTCTCTTACAGGAAGAGATTGATGGACTCGTCAGAGAAAACGAGGAGCTTAAATTAAAAAATCAAAGTCTGGAGGAACGACTAAAGACCGCTCTGCTCCCTTGCAACCTTAATGCTGTGCAGCCAGATGACAGAGTTTCTCCGTTTGTGGCGCAAGAATGGGAAAACAAGCTCAAAGCTGCCACAGACATGTATGAGGAGATAAAACAGGGCATGGACAAGCTGAGAGAGGTACCGGGACTGTAGTCTGTGCTTTTAAAAGATTCAATTAACTTGCTACAGAGAACAGTTTTTTTGTACAGTTAAGGTTGATTGGATTGATTTTTTTTTTTTTTATGTCGGTAAATAGTTTTATTTTTAATGTTTTTTTTGTTTGTTTTTTTTTTTAGGCAAATGGGACTTTGCGATCACAAAATGTTGACCTGGTGCACGAGAACATGAGACTGAAAGCAGAAGTGGCTAACAGATCTCCTCAGAAGTAACTTTTAGTTTTTTCTTGCCTTTAAAAATGTAAAATGAAAAAATGGCCACCATGACAATAATGTAGTTCAGTCAAGGCAGTTTCAAAATGGTCTTTAGGCATTAAGTTGGATGATTTTTTTTTCTTATTTCAAAGTAATTTCAACATAATTGTGCATGATATATGTATTTAGCTTCTGTCTAGGTTAATTTTGGTTGTACAAAAATGTTAGAACATAGCCAGATTAAAGTGTGCTGCATGCTACATTTCATTTAATTTGATTTAATTTCATGAGAACCTGATCTGTCTTTAGGTTTGGGCGATACACAGTGGCAGCCCTGGAAGCTAGGATTCAGCAGTATGAGCGTGAGGTAGATCAGCTGAAACGAGCTCTTGAACGCAGCGACCAGTACATCGAGGATCTAGAATCTCAACTCCGGAAGTCTGAGAACAGAAAACCTGAGACATGGGAAGCACGCGGGAACAGCAAGGGTGCAGCTGAAGTTCTCCAAAAGCAACAGAAGCTCAACATGATGATGATGAGAAGCTTGAGCGACGGCGAGAGGAGGTCCATCTGCAGCAATCCGGAAGGGGAGTCCCGAACGTTTTCAAGAAATCACAGTTTGGTATTCATGCCGTCATCAGACCACAACAGGAGCCTGACTGGAGAGCAGAAGGAGGAGGACTCTGAAGGGACCACCTCTGACTTCTTGCCCACCACCCCTTCCTCAGCTTTCCGCTCTCTGACATTAAGAAGCCCTGGCATCCGTGAGAAGAAGGTGGCATTTAAGCCCGTTTCTCATCTGAGACGGCTCAATTTTGAAGAATATGCCAGTCCAGGGAACTCTAGCGCAGCCTTAGAGAAAAAAATCAACAGCTTAGAAAAGTTTCCTAAAGGCTTATTTCAAAATGAAATGGAATCCTCAAAACCTGTTTTCTGGGGCTCTTGGCAGAGATCAAGCCTACAGGATCCGTCCCATCCATGTTCAAGTAAAGAAACTTTAGCAGAGGGAAACACATCTGCTACTCTTATCAGGGAGGAGCCGGATAGTTTACAGATGTCCAGTGAGGCATCTATGGATGCTGCTTACCTGGACAAAATTTCAGAGCTCGACTCCATGATGCATGATGGAGAGAGTTCAAGCAGCAGGGGATCCCAGCTCTCCTTGACATCCTCCCCTCGCATAGATCTGGATAACACGCTTGTCCCAGAACAACAAACCTGCCCAGACACTTTAACCAATGATGGAGGCAAACCTGGGATTCATGTGGAGAATAAGAACCAGTCTACGGATGACGGAAAACACAGCGATTCAACTGTTGGTGTGGCTCCAACAAGCTCTGAAAAGAAAGCATTTGCTGCTCCAGTGTCAGATGGGAAGGATGGCGCCCACGTTCCCAGCTCTGAAGAGCGCGCTGGGCCTTCTCAGACAGAAGAAATGTCTTTTGACTTGTTGTTCGATCCTCTGGATGAGGTTAAGTCTGCTCCGTCTGGCTCCCTCAGTCCAGTTAACCAACATCAGGACCTTATGAATTCCTCATTCTCCTCTAGCTGCGTTAGTAGTAAGCCTGTGAACACAACAAGGGACAGAAACGCACTTAACTGTAGCCAACCAACAAAAAGGAAGTCACATAGTCCCTTTAGCACAAGCAGTCCCACCAAACTGTCTAAGCTCATGTAATGGCATTGAAAACTAAAATATCTTTGATCCAATAGTGTCATTTATTGTTACCTTTTGCCTTGTAGTGGTAAATGAATTCAACTAAACTAGAACACTGAGGCACTTCTTCTGAGATGTGCTCGTAGGTCTCTTCTCTAATGTAAGGCATCTTTTCAGTTTTAAAATCTATGTACAAAAGAAGAGAATAGAAATGCTTATTTATTTTTTGTTCAATTTTCCGTTTACCTATTAATAGCAGTCTGCAATTTAGACCATTGTTTAATAAAGATTGTCTTGAAACAATGAAATGCTAAATAACTATTAATGTTAGGAAATAAAGAAGTGCAAAGCAAAAAAAAAAGCTCTTGTATTCTTTCATGTTTCTGCTGCCTATAACACAGTGTCTCCTTTTCATTAATATTTAGAGCTACAGTGGAGGCCCCATGTTTTGCAATGTCTTTCCCACATTATCTATTTTTACCGCACATGATATGCAATACGTTAAGCCGTCACAATTATTAATAGGCAGCTATTAAAAAATGGGAAGTGCGCAGCCTGTTCATGTCAACAAAACCTTGTAGGACACACATTAGAGCCTTCACACACAGTAGCAGAGAGCTCCTTATTTATTATGCAAATTTAACTGCCGTGTATATTTCACATACCTTTAATCACTGCATGAAAATTTAATTGGATAACCATTTTGGTTTGAATTAATGAAGTGTTAATTCATTTGGATTAATTAATTTAGATAAAGACTGTGCAAGGTTTGGTGATGTATTAAATCAATTTGTTTTGCACTCATCTGGCAATGATGAGCCTTAATGATCAGGTGGTGCCCCACCACCTCCCCCCTTTTTCCTCTTAATCAGGGGTGAAGAAGTAATATACTGGATGCGAAATGATAAATATCTTTATACTTAATGTTTTAAAATAAACCTAAAATTGTGATATTTTTTCTTTTGATTCAAATTAAAGAAATAAAGACTTGAATTTTTTGGAGGGTAAAATAAGTGACTTTTCTTTTCAGTTATAGGTCACACCAAAATTAGCTGCATTAAGTCATTAGTGAATTAGTGATTGAGGCCTGAGCACTGCTGCCACCGATGTACTCCTTTATTTGGATGGAGAAAAAGCCTTAAAACATCAGCAGCTACTCTCCAGATGTGGTTTGCCTGCCCTGTGAGCAGTTTTTATCTGTCAGCCAGTTTACTGTTCTGGCAGCTATGTCTCGCGAGAGCAGCAGAGCATGGGCTTGACGAGATCTGAGGCGCTCAGGTGTAAGAGCCTCTCTCATCCCCAGCAGTGGGGGGAAACAGTAGACAGATACGTGCGTCTGAGAGACTGCAGGCATCTCTGTGATCTCCCGGCACAAGGCATCCGCACTCAGCGCACTACAGAGCGACACCGCACTGCATCATTACCCGAAAGGCAAAGGATCCATGTCTTTTTTCCAGCTCTTATAGCCGCTTTCCCCCCTCTTTTTATTTTTTATTTTTAATTTCCCCCCATCCTGTGCACTTTAATTCAAGACGTTCGCCAAGATGATGTCCATGAACAGCAAACAGCCGCACTTCGCCATGCATCCCTCTTTACCCGAACACAAGTACACCACTCTTCATTCCAGCTCGGAAGCTATACGGAGAGCCTGCCTACAAACTCCACAGGTAAACGATCCCAGAAAAACTTTACCTTTGTCACTTTCTCCGCTTCGGCTGCGCGCAAGCGACGAGCGCTTTCTGTGCGTAATAACGAGGCGCTCCAAGGCACCTTCCGCCAAGACGCGCTCTTAATGTTTTTTTCATGTATTCCACAGCAATCACTCGGAGAGCCTGTGATCTTTTTGAAAGCATGCTCATGCAAAACCCCGGCGTTTGCCTTTTTGTCCCCCTTCTTTGTATTAATTTTTATGACTTCCCGCCTCTGAAGGAATACTCAGCTGTGTCATGTTTCGCCGAAAGTACCGACTAACAGATGCATTTATGCACCTTTCTTTTCCCTCTTTTCCTTCTCTGTGCCTTTTCCCATTTCGCACCCACTCACTCTCATCTCCTCTCCCCTTTCATCTTTACCCTCTCAGCTACAGAGCAACATCTTCGCGAGTCTGGATGAGACCTTGCTGGCCCGCGCAGAGGCTCTGGCCGCCGTGGACATCGCCGTGTCCCAGGGCAAGACGCACCCGTTCAAGCCGGACGCCACCTACCACACGATGAGCACTGTGCCATGCTCGTCGACGTCCACCGTTCCCTTGGCCCACCACCACCATCACCACCATCATCACCACCACCAGAACCTGGAGCCTCCGGACATCATGGACCACATTGGCTCGCCGTCCCTCACCCTGATGTCCAGCGCGCACGACGGGACAGGCGGAGGAGGTGGCGGGGGAGGTGGAGGAGGCGGCGGAGGGCTCATCTCCACCTCCTCTGGTCACCCGCATTCCCACATGCACGGCTTGGGTCATCTATCTCACCAGGCAATGAGCATGAACTCGTCGCTCACCCACCACGGGCTCTTGCCGGGCCATCACGGTGGAAGCCAAGCCGGCCCAGGGCTCACAAACCCCGGACTTCCCTCCATCAATGACTCGGACACAGACCCAAGGGAGCTGGAGGCTTTCGCGGAGCGCTTCAAGCAGAGGAGGATCAAACTGGGGGTGACCCAGGCGGACGTAGGAAGCGCTCTGGCTAATCTCAAAATCCCCGGCGTGGGTTCTCTGAGCCAAAGTACAATTTGTCGATTTGAGTCCTTAACTCTGTCCCACAACAACATGATTGCGCTCAAACCCATCCTCCAGGCCTGGCTGGAGGAGGCCGAGGGGGCCCAGAGGGAGAAAATGAGCAAACCTGACATTTTCAACGGTGGGGAAAAGAAACGCAAGAGGACCTCAATAGCAGCGCCAGAAAAGAGGTCTTTGGAGGCTTACTTCGCAGTACAGCCTCGGCCGTCCTCCGAGAAAATAGCGGCTATAGCTGAAAAGTTGGACTTGAAAAAAAACGTGGTGCGAGTGTGGTTTTGTAACCAAAGACAGAAGCAGAAGAGGTTGAAATTTTCAGCTGCTCACTGATGGGCAAAGAAAAAATAAAAGATAAAAAAACAAGAGTGGGCTGACTGAATTTGGGGACCAAGTGACATTAATAAGACACCATTTTCAGTCTTTTGTCTCCAGCGACTTTACACGTTGGTGCACAAGGGGCTATAGACATCCATTTTATGAGGCTTCATATATCTTGTTTATTTTCACGTTATTGGTGAATGTGAAGTATGCAAATACCAGACTACACAAATTTCGCTCAGTTGTTGCGAGGGAAAAGTTTAGCGACGTCAATGCCTTTTAAAATGCGTGGAAAGACATAATTTGCTTGATACAATATAGCGAGTTATTTTCTATGATTTGAAATATAGCCATTTTTACCAATTACCTCATTTATTGTTGAATTGTGTCTTGGTTTGATTCTTGTCACTGTTGGTAGACTCGAGAGTAATTCATGAATCAGTTAATTATTCATGTGTTCGTTTATTTGAATTTTAGAAGCTGCTATAAATTCAATTTTTGTTGCAAATTTTTAATGTCTAAGGAAAATTTAAAAAGTGAAATAGATTGGGCCTGCATGAAATCCTAATTCACTGGAAGCAAATGAGCCTCTACAGGCTTTCATATCTACAGATATATTTATTTGAAATTTGCACAAAATACCCTTTAGGTTTAGGTCGAAATGGTTTGTATATACAGACTACACTTTATCACTTACAAGAGACGAGCTCCTGTGTTTTGAAACTAATTTCTAAGGGTGGTGCGACACTATTGGAATCACAGATCAGAGCACGATAAGCTTGTGAGCTTCAACAAGGAGTGATCACAGTAAAAAGAAAAAAAGGACATGTTTTTTTTCTTTTATGTTTCAGTTTGCAGTGCAAACCCTCTATGCATCTAAGAAAAAAAAAATAAACCACTGCTTACAGTAGTACTATCTACTGATAGATTTTATTTTTTGTGGGTGGTTGTAAGTCACTGTTTAATGCTTGTTTTCACATTAAGATCACCTCGTTGTTTGTCGTGTTAACTGTAACGGAAACGTTGTGTAAGTACTATTTACTTTGTGCACAGGTATGTTTACAAAACTGCAGTGACATGTGCATCATGGAAAATGTCTCCTTCCCTCACTCATAACTTCCCCACTCTCCTCTGTTGTCCTCCTACTTTCATTGGTACTCTCCATCCTGTAAGCCAAAATCCAACAGGGAGTGTGTTCCAACAATCTTCCAATAAATCAAAGAAAAAGAAAAAAAAAAGCTTGCCTCCTCTGGTTGTAATTGGACATCCAACTCAAGGGGTTGTTTGCTATTACATGTATAACACTTTTATTTACAACAGAGTTGTTGTATATTGTAGCAAAAGCTCTGTTTTAGGTGAAACGTTTTGGAATGGTATAAATTATTTATTTGTTTTCCTTTCTTTTTTGGTTTGAAGAATATATTTAAACAGCCCCCCCCCTCCCCACGTTTCACATATTTTTACAGCTATAGAAGATTAATATATAACGCGCTTAAATGCACAAATATCAAGTTAATTGCACTAAAAGAAATTATATTATTATTAATATATTATTGATAATAATACATTTATTAAAATACATACATGCAGATGTTTGCTTAAACAGAATGTTTGCTTAAACAGAATAAATCTGACTATGCCATTATTACTATTAAGTTTGTTTTACTATAAACTATATTAAAAAAATATAATTTTTCTTTATATTTTCGTTTTTATATTATTTTGAAAATAATGTTTTTACCTTTGCTTTAAACACAGTTTCCATTTCTCGAGCTTTCAAGATAATAAAAAACAATTAGATACATTTCGAGGCCAGGTCTTAATGACAAACTCAAGATCCATAGAGGAGTTATAGAAAATAAGTAATAACTCAAAGTTGATATTAAGGCAGACATTCAAATAGAGGAGGGAAAAAAAAGAAAGAAACGAGAAAAGCAACACAAAAGAATAAAACCCCAGTATTGGTATTTTAAATCATCACAATGGCATCCCTCCCCTCCCTCAACCCTGTGGTTTTAAACTTGCATGTTTCCCCCCTTCTTCTTCGCCTGTATTTGGGCCTAGGAATTTCTCTGAATTTTTATAAGCTTGTAATGCAATATTAATCAAGGTTTCCCGCTATAAAATGCAATACTTTCACTCGGCTTTCAGGGCTTTCAGAGGAAGTATGCATGCGGAGGACGTCGTTGTTTAACAGCAGAGAAAGCTTTTCGTTTTTTGCTTTCAGTAGCTTTTGGCCACATGGACAGAAGAGAAAGCGGTTCCTTAAAGTAAGTGGAGTTTTTTTGATTTAAGAAAGAATTACCGGGTTAGACAAAAGCCATAGACAGGTTAGATCAGAACATCGTTTGTTAATTTTTAGTTTTAGAATAAATATTATCTATCGCACGTTTAGGAATAGAAAAAGCTCAAATGCAAGCTATGTATAAACTATATATATGTATATATATATATATATATATATATATATATATATATAAAACCAGCCGCTGGCACCGAACACTCTCTAGCACAGACGCCACATGGCACATCATTTCAGCACCTCGAACAGCTCCGCTGGCGGATTGAAGAGTAATGCATTATTGAAAGCCTATATCAAACAGCTCTGGGGTGCTGTCTCTCTGCACAAGGGGCTGTGGATGAAGTCGGACTGTCTGCCTTCACAATAGCCTCTAATATGTTAATGGCCGTAGGGGATGCCTGAGGTACCGTCCCCAGCTGCCTCGCCTACCATATGTCAAGCCGTTACGACAGAGCCCTCTATTAATCAGTTGCGGATATTTCATCGATGACTTCCCCGATATCATAACCCTTAAAGCTCCATCAATACTGTGCCGGATCATCACCTGATCGCAGGTATTCATGATACAGAGGCCTAAAAAAAGGCCTTCCCCCTTCTATACGTCTCGGTCGCTTTGGTCCTTTTAAAACCCTCCCCACCAAGTTATTTCCCGTGATGCTTTGGGTGTGTTCTCATCCCAAACTACATCATACATTTATCACCACTCATAAAACACTGATTCATTATTATTATTATTATTATTATTATTATTATTATTATTATTATTATTATTATTATTATTATTATTATTATTATTATTATTATTATTATTAAGATTATTATTATCATTATTACTACCAAATAGGTGCATCTCTTTCCAGCATTAATCACCTCTTCTTCCACCTTTGCATCCTTGCGTAGGTTGTGATGGATTAATCGCAGAACCTTCCAAAGGATCCCATAACTTAATTCCTGCAGGCTACTAGTCAGGGGAGTAATTAATCTATACCGCGGATGTAAATAAAAGGAAATTGGATTCCTGACAGACGAAATGAGCGAGTCTCTGACACCACCTCGGCAAATTATGATTTCACCACGTTATGGTTACGCAGGAAGCTTAGATTTACGAGCATACGAGTTTTTACTATAGCTCTGAGCGGAAGAAATTGGGCCTACTCTAATCGCAGCTGTTAGGCACCCAGGTTAAGATGGATTAGATCATTATAATTACACGTTGACACGTAGAAGATAGAGAAAAAAAAAGCTATGAAAATGACGTCGGTTGTGTTCTTTGTTTAATCGTGTCTCATTTTTTGTGTTTGTTTTGATAGTATTCTAGGCCCACTTATGAATTTTTGTCAAAAATAAATAATAAAAAGAGCAGCCACAGATGGCTCCCTTGATCTAACAATGCGCACGGAGGTTGGCCTTTGGACGGAAATGTCAAACCTGGGATGTGGATGGGTAGATCCCCAGATCTGCACTCATTTCCCACTCATATTTGCTCAGTAATCCGCCGTGGCAGCCCCCCATCGCCGGGGACCCGGTTTGAGAAGCGGTGCTGTTGACACAAGGGTATATTTCAATCACAGAGGGTTCAGAGTTAGACGCACAAGTTATTTGTCTAATAAATCCGTCATTTAGTTAGAAAAATATTTGATCTTGAGGGGATGACCCTTTCCATGTAACGAATAACAGATAGAAATGGATATGGATGCATCAAGGATATGCAGGTCGCCTGCATAGCAAAAAAAAAAAAGACAATTTGAATTCATATTCGCCTGGAGCAAACCAGGTGGCCAAAATGTTAGATGGAAGGACAAAAAGTGGAATAGAAGAATTTAAATCATATATCCAAAATACCAACAGTTAAAGCTGCGTTGGTTCATAATTAGACATTAATTTGGTGTAGACACAAATATGAAGTGGACATTTTATGTCAGGCCTGCATATTAGGTGGTTGTTGAAATGAAAAAAAAAAAATGAACTACTACTTGTAGGTTAATTAAATTTCATAACTGATTTCTTCACAGAAAAAACATCAATAGGCACTTTATAAGCACAATTTTTTTTTTAAATAAATAATAATATTTATGATATTGTACACTGTAAAATACCTCAAATGTTCATAAATGAACATTTAAAAAGAAAACAAAGGATTTTCATTTGAATTCTTTTTGGAATTTTATTTTTCAGTTTCATGAAAAACTCTAAAATTTTTATAGACAAAATACCTCTATATAAGAGCCGGGAAAGACATAAAAAACAAATAGTTAAAAGTTAATCGACCACTATGTCAGGATAAACTAGCCTTTTTAAACTGGGGAAATATTGGTCACCATATTAGAAAACCATAAAGAAAGTCACTAATTCTTACAGCAGATCATTTCCACCTATAGGGAATATATTATATGTCGCAAATATACACTGAGCCCTTTTAGGATGTCGTATGCAAAGTTTGGGTTAAAACGAAATAAAAAACATACAAATATGAAGCTGGAAATATACACAGTTTAACCTCGACACAGTTGCTTGAACTCACCGCTTGACAACTGAACTGATAAAGTGCGACACTAAAACATCAAAACACTTGTCAGTGTCTTCACGTGATCGTCGTGTTTCACCACGTTCTGAAACCAAGTACCGCCACCTAAATGTCACTTTATGCTAAACCTTCCTCACTCCCTAAATGTCACTTATTTCCCAATCTCAGCCTTCAAAGAGCCGCCGCGGCCCCGGGCGGAGTGCTCTCTGAACTCTGCTCCCTCTTGTCATTAGCTGCACGTGTATCAGAAGGCAGGCGCGCGACAAAGCAAGATTGGTGAGCGGACCGGAAACGTAACAAGAAAAATGCCATATAAGGACATCAATCGTGTGCGTCATCTAGCGTCATCTAACCCTTTTTTTTAAAATCTTATTTACAATAAATCTACTAATTTATTATAAATACTAAAATAAACTATTTCCTAAAATGTTAGACAGGAACCTGAATACAGTGTGTTTCAGAAAGAAGAGTTACACCCTGCACAAACATTGCACATGCATTATTTAACCTTGGCGACACAACCTTAACCTATTTATTGCAGGAAGTGTGTGCAATAATACTTCAAAACAATACCAATTCATACTAAGCAGAAAGTCTTATTTATTTCTACATTGCAACAATCTCTTCTCTTCTCTTCTCTTCTCTTCTCTTCTCTTCTCTTCTCTTCTCTTCTCTTCTCTTCTCTTCTCTTCTCTTCTCTTCTCTTCTCTTCTCTTCTCTTCCATAATGAATATTGAATAAGCCTAACATTGTAGTGATTTGGGTCGTGTATGGACGAGGTTCTCATGTCGCTGTCCATAGTGCTGAGTTTATTTCACATGATTAACATTTCGTTAGCTTGTTTTTATTAACTTTAACGTTTTTATTAACTCCAATCTTTACCTTTTTAAATAGAAATCAATGGTAAAGTTAAAAAAAAGTTGATATAAGCCAAACAATCGCTTTTTTTTTGTTGTTGTTGCAAACTAGCTTTTCCTTTTTTCGATGTCTAGACTTTCGTGTTGTGGGAAACGTAGAGGCGCTCCATATTCCTGACAGGGGCTAGGTCCACAACGGAGAGATATTCAACATCTTCCTCGGTAGACACGGACTTTGATAATGAGGAGAGTGTCGGCCACCATTTGCCCACCGCCACGCCATCAAATATTCATCACTGTTGATTAAACAGCCGGCAGCTGCCGATCAGCCGGGTGTCAAGTTTGCACCCAACTACCTCTGTATACATTCAGCCGGAATACAATGGGCTAGGTCCATGAAATACTCAATAAACTTGAAAAAAAGTTCATTTATGAGTAGTCCGCGAACGCGTCCGTGAAGGGGGGAGGGTTGCGAGGTGAACTTCACATGCTCCCTCGAAATAAAGCAAGGCTTAAGCGGACATTTACGTTTACATCCCTTGACTATCAGCTAGAATGACAGAAAGAAAAATATGTGTGTGTGAGAGAGAGAGAGTGGATGTGAGTGAGAGGTTACTGCGAGGCACTGTAAATATTTCATGAGTTGTTAGAGGTTGGGGTAGACAGAGAAGTCTGCCCGAGAAGCTTGGTTCAACTCATTTGCTGAACTCGAAGCATGCAGGGGAACAAATGTTGATGCACCCCCCCCCCCCCCCCCCCACCTACACACACAAGCCTATATGTGTTGCAGAACAGAAGCAACAAATAAATATATTATTTTTTGTCATTTATCTGATTTTCTTCTAAAGATTTGATGTTCAGTCACAAAGGAAAATAAATCTTATTATGTCAAACAATAGAGCAATATGATTAGCATTATTCCTCTTAATCGCAGCACGACAGCTTAATTATTTGACATAATCCTGTTTCAAAAAATACAAACAGCTATATAACTTCAGAAAACCTAAACTTTTTGAATCGGATTCAAAGTTACTTAATGTGGTTGTACATTGTTTTATATACCTAAATACAATTTCATTAATCACTTTTTCTACATTAAAAGAGGAGATCTAACACATTTTTGCCACAAGCTTTCATATTCAGTTCTTTTCTTGTTATGTAAATTATTGCTTAACCCAACTTTACAAATGTAAAATATGGCAAGTTTCACTTAATGACACTGATAAAAAACACCAAGACTTTTTTATTCATTTCTCTATAGCAGATGAGTATTTTTAAAACACCTGGCCAAAAAAGGCCTTTTGGGTTATGTGCAGTAAGAGAGGAAGGTTGTACCATATTTGGAATAAATTTGCCTCCTTAACTTTTGAATGGAAATATGTCTAATGAAGATGTGGTCACTTCTTGTTGACACAAAAAAGAAGACATAGCAAGCAATTTTGCCATAAAGGTAAGCTTAATCAATTTTTAAAAATATCTCATTTGGAGACCCATTTTACATTAAGATACTGGAATTTTTCAAGCCTCTTCGGCGAATGAACACACCAAGATTAAGAGCAAAACATAGTTCATGCCAATACCAGAAGA